TACAAGGCTATTCTATATGATCCTGTTCCTCAACAGATCTGGCTGCTTCTTGTCTCCTGAAGTTCCTTCCAAGAAGAGTGTTTTCTCTAAATGGGTGGGACTAGCTCTCAACCAGTTTCATTTCAGATGATGAGGGTGCAGTGCTGATGGAAATCTCAGAAAAGACCCAGAGGGCATGGAGAGACTCTCAGCCAAATGAGAAACAGGCAGCCAGGGTTAAGTGTACTTTCCTAACAAGAGCTGAAAAGTGAGAAAGCAGGATATTTGCTTACAAAAGCAAATTACTGTAGCATGACAGCAGAACGTGGAACACTTAAGCTCCTCTGTTCCATACAGAGACCTCAAGAAAAACCTATAAAGAGTTTTTTGTTAAGATGATGACTTTTCTTTTTTTCTTTTTTTGTTTTCTACATGTCTGAACTGTGGTGGGCAAGTTGTGATGACAGCAATTCCTAGAAATGTGTTGTGGTGGGTTGACCTTGGCTGGATACCTAGTGCCCACCCAGGTACCCTCTCACTCCTCAGCAGGACAGGGGAGAAAATACAATTAAAAAGCTCATGGTTTGAAATAAGGACAGGGGAAGGCTGCTCAGGGGCAAAAGACTAAAACTGGGGAAGATTAATTTATTGCCAATTAAAAAGAGTAGGATAGGAAGACAAAAACAAGACTAAAAACACCTTCCCTCCACCCTCCCTTCTTCCTAGGCCCAACTTCATGTTTGACTTTTCTACCTCCTCTCTCCACAAGTGGTGCAGGGGGACAGGGAATGGGGGCTAGGGTCAGTCTGTGATGCTTCATCTCCGCTGCTACCTCCTCCTCATGCTCTGCCCCTGCTCCATGGAAGGGTTCCCCCTCTCCATGGGCTGAAGTTCCTGCCAGGAGCTTGCTCCTGTGTGGGTTTGTCATGGGCTGCAGCTCCCTTCAGGACATCTCCACCTACTTGTATCTACCCCCGGCTGCAGGTAGATCTCTGCTCCACTGTTACCCCCCAGGGGCTGCAGGGCACAGCTGCCCCACCACCGTCTGCACCACAGACTGCAGAGGAAACCTCTGCTCTGGCACCTCCTCCCACTCCTTCTCTCTGACCTTGGTGCCTGCAGTTGTTTCTCTCCCAGCTGCAGCTGTGTTGCAGTGGGTTTATCTTGGAGCTGGCTCTGCCTGTCATGGGGGCAACTTCTGGTGCTTGCTCAGAGGCTGCCCCTGACCCCCCTGCTACCAAAACCTTGCCAGGTAAACCCATGTTGCATCCTGCTGAGGGGTAACATGTAACCTTCCCCTTGTAGAGCCTGTGCAGCATGGCAGTTAAGCACAGCTTGTGCCAGGCATCACAGAACTGCTGAATCATGGGAGGAGCTCAGGGGGGTGCAGGGGTTTGGATCTCCTGGGGTGTCCCTGTCGGTACTGGTGGCAGCAGCGGAGCAGCAGCCTGGCTGCAGGAGGTGCCTGGCACAACCACAGTCTGTGGGGTCACCTAGAGCCATGAGCCAGCTGGGTGAGCTCACCCCAAAAGCTGTGCTGGGGCAAATACCCAGTCCATTGGGGCACCAAGGTTGAGTTTCACATGTGACAGACACATCCCTGAGAAGGCTGTCAGGGGCGGATCAAGGCAGTGGGGATTTTGCTAGCTGTGTGCTGTGGGTGCTTGTGGACAGGGTATCTGGAAAGCAGCATGTGTGTCTAGCTGTGATGGCCATGGTGTCGGGTCATCATAGCTGGGAGCAACTGTCTGGCAGCTGGGGTGCGTCTGGTTTCACTGCCTGGGATGTCTTGGGAACAAGAACTTGAAAAAGCTGGGTTTGGGTGTCTTCAGCAGCATTGTTTGAGGGCAATAGTGTTGTGGCATCATGTCTTTTGAGAGCATCTTCGTGGTGGCTGATGTTGTGACTGAGCTGGGATTTGGGATGATGAACGGGCCTTGCTAGTGCTGGTTTCCAGGTATTAAGTCTGAATCCCTCACAGTGACCCGCTGTCGCGGGGAGCATCACCTGTCCCTGTCCAGCAGCTCCGCCTGTTCCACGGTTCCACTGGCCTCATCTACACTTTGTGTGAAAAAGGGTTTGTTGCAGAAAGCAGCCTCTGACATTGGATGCGAGAGGTGGCCTCTGCAACAAGGGTTGTTGTGAGCTACTTTACACTTCCACTGTTGAAACCAAGAAATTCACTGAACAGTCAGAATCCACCATAACTGTTGAGCAGGTATTCTTTTATTGGCAGCGCTAGGGTCGCCCTGGTGATTCTCCACCATAAGGACTCCCAAGAATTAGTATGGGACATCAGTTTACACATACACAAATTATACATATTAATTAGATTTCTGAGAAAGGGGTGTCTTATGATAATGAGTTGCCAGAATTCATTTACACAGTCTGAGCATGCTTACTCAAGAATAGGCTGAGAGTCTTTGGTGGCTGGGGGAGGAAGTAAGCAGTCTTCTTCACAGTGGTCACTAGCTGACCCTCTTTCTGGAGCGTGTGCTGTGAGGTAAAGTCCAGGTGTCTTCCTCCTAAGTCAGCAAAATCATTTTTCCTATAATAGGGTCTCTGCGTCTCTTTGTTCAAACTCCCCTGTATCTCACTGTAGGAGTGACCAAATGTCCACTGAAGGCCTTGACTCTGCTCCCAGTGATTTGTCAGGAGCCTGAGGAGCAGACAAAGGGGCCTCAGGAAACAGCTGAGGAGTCAGAAGTCCTTGAGAAACATATGAAGCAAAACACAAGCAAAGCTTTCATACATCACAGTTTAGACTTGGTAATTGTTAGAAACTCATTCGTTGAGCCCTTTCCTTCCCTCTCAGCGTGGATAACCTGCGGGTGCTGCAGTGTCCCAGGGTGCCAGGAGCGGGGAGGGGGTATGGGGGGAGGGTTGGGGCAGGGCCTGCGGGCAGGACCCGTGTCCTG